TATTGATATCTTTTATTTAATTGTTTCTTTTATTGCAGATGTTGCCAGTTGGAGGGAGATGGTGAGAGAGGCAATAGGAGGTGACATTAAATTACAAAAGGAATTACTTCTTATGTTAATTAACGTTAACGATGCACAAGAAGGTTTATATTGGGCGAGGGAATATAGAATACCTAAACAAGAATGGCCATGGATGATTGTGCATGCAGAAGAAAATGAAGAAGAAGAAGAAGAAGAAGAAGAAGGTGCGCAAGGTAATGCTCTATAATCTATATTTTTATATGTTTTCGCGAAATATTCATAATATTGTAGGTTTTCATGAGCAAGGAAAAATTAAGAGTTTTTGTACTATAAATATTAATTTTGTCACTGAATCATTTCGAGCACATACTCGAGACTCTTCTGCTCACTCTTGCATATTCTTTTTACTACAATATCATATTTTGCAGGGGTAAATGATGGAGCTTCTACGAGTAAAGATGAAAATTGGGAACCAATTGAAGATAATCTAAATTATCACGTTTTAAAATTACCAAGAGAATCTATTAATGTAGTGGATAATGGACGCTTATTTGAAGAATTCCTTGATAATGGATTAAGGAATGTTACTGTAGTTGGAATTGATTTAGAGTGGAAACCTAGTTTTGGTAATAAAACTTGAGAACATAAAAAAAAATTATAAAACTGTTTACAATATACTTTAATATGAATCATTTATATGTTTTTTTATGCACAGGAACTAAGCAACCAGAACTAGCGCTTATACAAATAGCTACTGAAGATAATGTTTATATTCTGGATGTGACTACTTTCGGTAATGAATTACCTGAACTCTGGGCTGAACTTGGTCTTATGTTATTCGGAAATAAAAATATTATTAAAATTGGTAAGTGTTTTTAGTACTTGAAATAATATTGTTTATATTATTTTACATAGCTATATGTGAAATAAACACACACATTTAACTTAATATTTTATATTAAAAAGAAATACTACATAATTAATATCACTATATGAAATGGAAACAATATAAATGTTAATACCAAAACTATCACAATGTACATTACCACAGGATTTGGAATAGCACATGATATAACAGTGATACGCAATAGTATACCTGCATTGTCATCCATTAAAAACCATGGCCAAGGATATCTCGATTTGATGATTTTATGGAGAAAATTAACGGAAGATTATAACTTTATTTTTCCATACAAGGGTGATCCAAACTTCACAAGCAAGAGTTTAAGTAAACTTGTGGAACTATGTTTTGGACAAAGATTGGATAAGTCTGATCAATTCTCAAATTGGGAGCTAAGACCTCTAAGGGAAAGTCAAATAATATATGCTGGTTGGTAATCCCTCTTTTCTAATCATGTAATGCATTTTCATATAATTAATATCTATCTGTTTTATATGACAGCATTGGATGCTTATTGTTTATTGGAAATATATAAGGTGTTAGCAGATTATTCAGCAGATATGGATATACCGTTTGAAGATATTTGTGCAGAAATACAGCATATTCCACATGCACATAAAAAACCTAATACAAATAAAGTCACATATAAGGTATAAATTACAGAAAATTATATTAACATATACATTATATGTTACATTATACGGACGCAATACACTGTACAATAGATAACAGCGTTTTTTCGTTGATGAAAAAAGACATTTTGTATATTTTAATTTCTTTATTTTTGTAAATTTTATATAACAAACGCATGCATCTTGGAAGCTATTGTGTGATTGAATTATTCATGACAATAAATATATTTTTTGAAAAATACTATATATATATATATATATATATAGTGATTTTTTTATAATTATGCATAAAGTGGGTAACCTCAGATGACGTGGATCTTGACATATGTTGTTAAGATCACGATTCTGAATAATATCCAAAAGGTTTTAGCTATCGGTCATTGTTTATTCAAAAGTTAAAAACAATTAAATTGTACGATAAGAACAAGTATTAAATACGATAATCTGAACTTTTCTGAGCATGAATTTTGTATTGTATATTTAAGTATTTAAATAGATGTGTGGGCGCGGTTCGGCCGATCCCCCTTCATCCCCATCCTCAAAAAAACAAACTTAACCCAAACCAAATTCTATTTTTGGAATAAAAATTAGGTTTGGGTTAGCTTAGTTTTTTTGATGATGGGAGTGCAGGAGGAGGGGCTCCGCTTTTTTCCCGCCCACATATTTATTTAAATATTAAAATGTACAATTAATAAAAAATTCTTGCTCGGAAAAGTTCAGATTTTCGCATTTAATGCTTGTTCTTATCGTACAATTTAATTGTTAATAACTTTTTAACGAGCGACGGCTAAAACTTCGTGAATGTTACTCAGGGTCACGATCTTGACAACATACGTCGAAGTCAACGTCATCCGTGAGGTTGTCCATTTTATACATAATCACCGGTTTTTTTTTTTGTTTTTTTTTTGGTTACGTGCTCATGTATATGTATTATATACCTAGACATTTGATAATTACCAACTATTTTACAGAAACCTATACATTCAAATCCTACAACGTCTGATAGAGACAACGAGAATTATCGCGTGAACGCAGGAGCTTCACCAAAATACGAAACGGCACCTAACTACAAATCTATGGTTAAACAGGGTTATCATAATAAACAAAATAAATCTGCGCATCTTGGAATACTTAGAATAGCTAATGATGAAAGACACGATAATCAAAAGAGATATGACAATCATGATCGGGATCAGAATCGGGACAGATTAGCGCGTGTCGGAATAATTCAGATAGCTAATGACACAAGAACTGATAACCAAAGGAAATATGACAATTATAATAATCATAATCAGAACAGATACGCACACGTCGGAATGATGCGAGGGACAAATGGTGGAAGATATGAGAATCAAAAAAGACATAATCATGAGAATTATAATAGATTCGACAACTATGAGAATCATAACAGATACGATCACCCAAACAGATACAGTAATCAAAGTAAACGCGATCATTATAATAGATACGACAAACAGATCGGTAGACGGGAGGATGTTCAGGATAGATTTCTGGACAACTTTGAAAAGATGAATAGACCGGAATCCAGAGTACAGCGACAACATCAGGGGGACCCGGTCATCGCGCATACGTGGCGCGTTGTATGCGACTCGATGCTGGGTGGCTTGAGCAGCAAGCTACGGATGTGCGGTGTGGACTGCGTACACGTCTTGTTCGATCAGGGTGGAGACGATTCCGCCAGATTGGCAATGCGTGAAAACAGGATTTTGCTGACGCGTAATAAAAATTACGAAAGAGTAAGACCCGCTTTGTATGTATTTGTCATAGCCGAACTGTTGTAATTCTTATTTTATTACATATTACAGTTCAAGCAGTTTCTACCACTAAAGAACTGCTACAGGATAATGGCCGACACACCTGACAATCAATTACGCGAAGTTTTATGTTATTTCGGCGTAGTTGTCACGCAGAATGACATTTTCAGCCGATGCCAAATATGTAATTGCGACGAATTCGTCAAAATCCCGAAGCAATTAATGGACGATCTTGTGCAAAGGTGAGCTATTTTCGATCTATATATATCACTTTGCTTTTGTTTTACAATCTTTTCTCTTATTGTCAATTTTATGATATAAAAGCAATGATTTCGCCTTCGATTTAGCTTCGTGAAAATTATAAGAAAAAACAATTATCGAGTGCTGCCCAATCGAGTCGACAGCATAGGAAAAGCTGGCGTTGATGACGATAGCGACGATTTCGAACTCGCTCGAAATCCGAACAATTATTTTACGAACAGCGAACATCGCACATGGCGTCTGTCCACAGACACTATCGATATCGCCACGTGTACAACGAGATACCAAATGCGAATACAAATCGATAAGGTCCCACTGAAAGTATTGAAGAATGTACAGGTCTTTTATGTCTGCGAACATTGCGGGAAAATATATTGGGATGGTTCGCACTTGGAGCGAGCTCTTAACGGTGTTATCAAAGATTTAATCGTTAAACAATAAGTATTAATATTAAATGTGATAAAAAAAACTCGAAGACTCCTGCTCAAAAAATTAGAGTAAAGGGCAGAAAAAAATCAAAATCATCATAGTTTGAAAAACTTCGAGTAATGATTGTTCCTAGAATTTACACGCCGCCAATATCGATATGTGATATTGTCATGCTTATTAAAGCGCTGTACACATCTGATCGTACTAATATTTGCAACATAGACAAACATATATTCTTTGTCAATATATTGTTACCGTTCTTGTATTTTTAAGATATATTTTATCGTTCTTTTTTTGTTCATTTTAAATATATATATAATGTAGTGAAATCGCGTTATGAAATAATATAATCTTGATCTGATAAAATCGATCACATATTGTATAGTTATGATGCCATAGATTTTAATTTAGTTTAAGTTACTATTATAAGTTAATATTATATAATATTATAATCACCGCTATCATTAACTGTCATTTTATTAGCATAAGTTGTTAAATAATCAAAAAGTTTATTAGATTTCTATCATTTTTTTAGATTGATAAATAACAAGAGATTTAAAGATGCAGATTCAAATTATTGATTGATGAGGACCACAAACACAAGTGTCGCATTGTAAGATGCAATTTAATACATGACTGCATATTTATGATATTCCTCTACATATAAGAGCAAATCAAATGCATGCCAAGTACTCAATGTATCAACTTTGTTGATCATTTGTAATTTCTTGCAACTATCTTTGTAATGAAAAAAACAACTATCTTTGTAACAAGAAAAAGCAAAGATGTCCATAGAGTACAAGATGATGTTATTCTGATTTTTTTAAATATATATTTTAATTATTCATATAACGAATATATTTACATAGAAAAATACGCGTATCTATTTTTTAATAAAAAAAGAGAATGTTGACAAAATAAAAGGAAAGAAGTATAATTATGACGCATTAGATAGTTTTTTAAATCTAAATTTCATGTTTTTCACAGGCTGCGCGTTTCAACAAATCTTTGTGTGTTTCTACCTAAATGTCGAAATAAATAAAAATAAAGGTATAATTCTTCCATTCGTGTAATTTTGTTTATTCTTATTTCCTCTAAATTTTGAAGCATAATAACAAATGATGATACAATGTATATAAATTAGAAATATGGTATGTATGTGTATATTGACAAAAAAATTTTACGAATGTTTCAAATAATTTATGAAAAAAATTAATGTTTTTAATATTATGACGTTTTATCATTCTAATCTTCTTTCCTTCTTTATACAGTATAAATATCTACAAAACATTTAATATACTCTTTTTTACTATACCGTCGCTCTGTCTATAGACGGGGATTCTCTGGCTGGACCAGATTTTTCAAATTCTGCTGGTTCCACAAGTCGCTTCTTCCCAAACGGCGGCGGCCCGATTAATTTTTTCACATCATCATATGTTAACGTTTCCCTTTCTAATAAAGCTTCCGCGAGCTGGAGTCAATAGAAATATTTTATACACGTGAAATAATATTTGATATATGATTCTAAGTATACATATATATGTATACTGTGTATATATAACTCTAAGCATAAGTATGATAAAATATATTTACTTTATCCAATTTATCTTTGTTATCCAGAAGTAATCGCCGAGTTCGTTCGTATGCTTCTCCTATTATTCTCCTCACTTCTGCATCCATTAGATTTGCCAACTTCCTACTATATGGTTTCTTATTTTTCTAGAAGAGAAAAACAATTATATACACGTTGTTCTTAAATGCGATGAACGGTTTGCAAAATTATCGGTTTTTTTTTTTTTTACGTACCGGGTCAGTATACTCTTCGTTGAAAGAAACTAAGCCCACGGCCGGACTCATTCCAAATTGTTGAACTTGAAGGTACGCCGTTTTCGTCACTTTCTTCAAATCGTTTTCGGCGCCCGTCGAAATCTTATCGAACGTTATGTATTCCGCTACTCGTCCGCCCAGCATCATACACATTCGTTCGAAGAGTTCCTCTTCACTGTGAAGTTTCTGATCAGATTGAGTGTATTGTGCAAATCCCAGACTGAGATTGGTTCGCGGTACTATCGTTACTTTGAGCAACGCGTCTGTATGTTCCAGCAACCAACCTACTAGCGCATGGCCCGCCTCGTGGTAGGCGACGACGCGTTTCGTGGATGGAGTCAACGGATTGTTTCTCTTCGTCAAACCACCGATCGTTCTGTCAATCGCATACATGAGATCGTTGCTGTCGACTTGTTTCTTCTTATCCCTCGCGGCGTGCAACGCTGCTTCGTTGCAAACGTTTGCGATATCAGCGCCTGGAAATGTTAAATTTTTATATAATTGTCAAAGTAATAAAACACATTGCCTATTTTCATTAGTGAATTTAAATGTACAATACCGCTAAATCCGGGTGTAAGATAAGCCAAGTATCCCGAATATTTTGAAGGTTCGCTTCGTAAAGATATCTTCTTGAGATGAGTCTCGAATATTTGTTGTCTTTCTTCTAAAGTGGGAAGATCGATCAAGATATGTCTGTCAAATCTGCCGGGTCTCAGTAATGCCTTATCCAGTACATCCGCTCTGTTTGTTGAAGCTAATATAATAACATCCTCCTTTGCTATCATTCCATCCATCTCTACTAAAAGCTGATTCAACGTTCGTTCAGACTCGCTGTTGGAGATTCCGAGCGAGTTGTCTGAACGTTTTTTGCCAATTGCATCAATTTCGTCGATGTATATGATACTCGGTGCTCTATGGAAAATTTTATTAAAGCGGATATTAATATTATTAAAATACACATAAATTAAAAAAAAAAAAAAATAAAAAAAAAAAAAAATAAAAAAAAAAAAAAATAAAAAAAAAAAAAAATAAAAAAAAAAAAAAATAAAAAAAAAAAAAAATAAAAAAAAAAAAAAATAAAAAAAAAAAAAAATAAAAAAAAAAAAAAATAAAAAAAAAAAAAAATAAAAAAAAAAAAAAATAAAAAAAAAAAAAAATAAAAAAAAAAAACACAGTAGAGCGTCGAACCTCTTTTTCGCCTCTTTGAACAGATCTCTGACTCGAGCGGCACCCAAACCACCAAAGACTTCGATAAATTCGGAGCCATTCATGGATAGAAAGGGAACACTCGCCTCGGTCGCCACAGCTTTAGCCAGCAACGTTTTACCGCAGCCGGGAGGCCCCAGAAGCAAAGCGCCTGAAAATGCAATTACACAAGTTCGATTTTATAGTATAAACTTGGAAACACTGATAATTTTCTAAACACATATTTAAGCATACCTTGTGGCACTTTAGCGCCAAGTGTCTTGTAACGTTCCGGATGCTTGAGATAATCGACAAATTCCATCACTTCTATCTTAGCTTCCTTCAGTCCTGCCACGTCTGCAAAGTGTACACCTTTACCTTTCCCCATTAACGGCTCGACTAGTGTGAATTTCGCTTGTTTCATCTGCGAAATAATCTCAAAGGGTTTGAAAGAGAAACGTTTTCTCACTAAACTAAAGATACCAATAGCCACTAGTGCAATAAGCAAGAATCTCATGATACTCGCTATATATTCTATTTTCCTTTCATAAATCACTTGTACTCCTTGGCCTAAAATATTTCAAATAAATGTATTGTAAAAGATGCAATCTCCAATGTATAATGCTTATTACAACATTGCAAATGATTTTACCTACCAGCCTTTATACCAAGATCTTTCTCCACTTTTCTCAACTTTTCTTCGAAATTCTCAATATTTGGAACAGCCATATGATATCTTTTGTAAGGGCTCCTTCTTCCCTTGATAATTGCACCATCATGCACCACGATTATAACATGATCAATAGTGGGATTCACAATAATCGCCTCAACTTCTCCTTTGCTCAGCATATGGTACACAAATTCGTTCCAAGAGATGGAAGCTGCAGGCTATTCACAAACATTACTTACAAAGAAGTAATAATATCTCATATCTTTGATTTGTAATGACTTAATGATTTCTGCGATAAACAGCAGTCAATAAAAACTCACTTCTATATTTGATGTGTCTATCTGTTGCCTTAATGCAATCAAGAGAACATATAACAGTAAAAACCACATAGAGAGTTTACGAAGTAACAATCTCATCTCTTCATTTTTATCAGGCTCCTTGTCTGGCTTTTGTGAACCAGATTCCTTTGAAGATTGCTTATTGGAATTATTACATGTTGTATTAAAATATCTGACATTATCGATTCTCGGGGAAAGAGAAAACTTGCTGCCTCGCAAGAATGCAATCTGTACGGCATAAAATTCTTTACATATCTTCTTGTAGGCCTAAAAATAAATATACTTTTATCGATGATACATAGAATATTCATTACTAATTAATTCGTCAATACGAAGATATTTTCTTCTTCTTCTTTCTTCAATGGCTCCTGCCCTCAAACGAGGGTCAATAGGGCCAGAACTTTGCGTATAATGTGATTAGAAGTGGCGTTAAATAAAAATGTTCTTTTGCACTGTTATGTTTACATAGGCTTTAACAAATATAAAAATCGTTTTTAGAAGAGGCGAAAATCCAAAAATAAGGCCCAAACAAAGGACACACGCGTAACGTGTCAAAACCGTTTGTTCGCTTCCGTTCGCAGACGGCAACGAACTAATACGAGAATATCATATACAGAGCGATATATCATGAATTAAAAATTAATCGACTAAATAAATATGAAACGTAAATAGGAATCAGGAATAAAGTGTCATAAACCAGGGGATACTTACATGATAAGAAACGGGAAGAGATAACCTAACCGCACAACTCGAGTGCTTGACGTCAAGCAGGACCTTCTCCCTCGCGAGATAAAAATTTTTCGGTGAGAAATTAAATATCTGACTGGACGCTACATAATGCCGCCTCGAACACTTGATCAGACTTTGCATAATTTCAGATTTCGAAGGTAAAATCGTAGGTGATAGATTCGCGCATCATAGGTCTAGTTTCCACCGAAGTCATTGGTCCGATTCTGTTTCGGTGCGCATCGAATTTAAAGTTTCCATCGACTTAAATTTAGTCCTACGCCGCGCTAGATGCGAATTGATACTTACGGTGGAAACTAGACCATAGACAATTCGCGCGTGTACGAATCATTAGGTTTGTTCACGTTGTTTGAAATTCCCAAAAAGTTCTGCATTGAAAACGAGATAAATATATATTTGGATGTTGAAGAGAGTGAAAGCGAAGATATTAAGTGCAAAAAGTTCAAGCAACGTGAACAAACCTATATTGGGCGTTTTCTAGCAAGATAGAAAATTATTTACGGACTGCGAATCGTCAATCATCCAATCAGATCCTTGGCTACTTCGCTCGGATTGGATGAATGACGATTCGCAGTCCGTACTCCAAATCCGATTTGAGTCCGCAATGCGTAGTGTGATACGGGTTTAAGGAGAGTTATCTACCTAGATTGGAAATGGTCACGAAAAATGTTTCGTACATAGACATAGTATATCTAGACCGAGTGTTGAGGATTGGGAGCCGAGGTGCACGTAGAAAAGAGTCCTTACATCCCCATGGAGCGTAATGAGCGCACCGCGGACCAATGCGCAACCAATCACGAGTCATTATTTCAAAAGGGTTAAAACTGCGTTGAAACTTATTTAACTTATTTAACATTTTTAATCAATATTTCCAATAAGAACGCATTCATTTCAATATTTATGTACACGATAATAAAGAACGACCAATAAAAACAATATTTGAAAGTAATTTTAGAGACGTTCTGCTCGTTTTGCTTGCGCTCATTCCGCTCCATGGGGATGTAGGGACTTGAAATCCACGTAACAAAAATGACGGAACTGTATGTATGTACACATATACTTTATTAAATTGGCAGCGTAGAGCAACGTGGTCAGTACAGAAACAGAGATACATTATTAATTATTACAAGTTATTTCTTATTTTTGAGAGATAAAGGAAAATTTTGA